TCAAGTTTTAGTATAAATCGACCAAAGATTTGTGCTGATACCTCTTCCAGTATTTACCATAATTCCTCCAAATGGCATCTATAAGCCCATTCCTAATCCATCTTCAAGTGAAAATTTCTGGGCACTCTAGTGTTCAATCATCTTCCACCTTCAAGTCACGAATGGCGGATCCGTCAATCTAACTCTCTAGGTCTAAGAAGATTGAACAGGGGCAGTTGTTGTACCCCAAAATTTTCCCTCTCATTTCTCAAGTAATCTCTCACAAGATCTCCTTTGGTTCAAGACTGCACAAGGGTTGATCAGCTCAAGACACCTCCTCAAGCACTGATGACTGAAAATTTGGGTTTAAGTTTGCCCAAGGACAAATGAAATTTTAATGCCCCATATGACTTTCATGGATCATTTTGGACCCTCAAGATTGCTCAGGTCAATTTCAAGTCTTGGATCATATTTTTGCTCAATCAGTTGATCAGTTGACCTAAAATCAACTGTATTAGGGAAAAAGTCAATTGTGGCCAATTTACAGTCAAACTTCATAATTTTTTATCCATATCAACATCATGAACACATATATGTAATTTGATTAAGTTTGGACCATAATTCCACAAGAAATTTGATCGGATTATCAAAAGGGCAAAATGGTCAAAATTAGGGTTTTGACTGAGAAGGTGCAATTTCTGATTTTTGACCTAGAAAATGACTTATTGGTTTGAGACATGATATCAAGGATTTAAATAATTCATTTTTACCTAATGGCATGGCTCAAAACATTTCTCAAGCTCAATTTAGTGACAGACGAATTTCAGTCAACTGATGAAAAGTCAATTGTCCACTAAAAAGTCAAACTTTGACTTTTTGATCAAAATCAAGTATCAAAGACCACAATTCATCAAGACATGTCAAAATATGAAACTTGTTCATCAAGATATCAAAAAGTCAAGATTTCATTTTCAAAATTCAAAATTTCTGAACTTAGAAATTTTTCTAAGTGTTGGAAATTCACATTTTTTTCATAACTTTGAGCCAATTTCTCACCATGATGCAAGATGATTTAAAGGAAACTTCCAACATGAAAATTGTAGATCTCAATGACATCTAAAAAATTGTAGAACACTTTTTTTTCTATAAATTCATATATTTCAAGTTATGATTTTAAGAAGACATGTTCATGAAACTTGGAAACTTGGTGAAATTTTGCCCTAGTTTAGGCAGGATTTTGACCTAACTTCATGGCAATTTTTCACATAGTTCCAAGATAAATTTTCAAAAATGTCCAACATAGAGGTTGTAGAGGATGATACAAGATTTTAAAAATGTCCAAGAACTCATTGAGATCATACTTGAACTAGGAGAATCGAAGGTAACAAGTTAGGGCTCCATTCTTGAATTACAAGTCATTTCTTGATGAACACATGATTCAATCTCAATGTTAGGCTGCATAATCTTTGCTTTGCAGGCCTCAAACTTGTTTATCACTCCATAATTAATTTTGTGCACAGCTGCTAGAAGCTTTAATCCAAGCATTCAATACACTGCTCATGCTTAATACCATTTTAGGAAGAAAGGCAACATTGTCATTTTAGAAAAGTGGCTTTATGCACAAAGTCCACTCTTCTTGAGCCTATAACTTGTTGTTCTAAACACACACAACATGTATGCTCAGAAGAAACATGTTTAAAGCTTTTAAGCCACCCTATAAGCCAGGTACTTGTGCATTGGAACCATATTTCTCAAGCTTTCTTCAAAATCAAGCAAAAAGCCACAAACATGTGATTTTGAATTCTGATCAAAGACAAGCTTCCAAACTTGTTGCTTATAAATAGAAGCACTATGTGTGAGCTAAGACACGAGCATTAACACCCTGAAACTCTCCCAAACTCCCTCTAGCCAGAAATTATCCAAAAACACCATTGTTGCATAGTTTCTGACTTTGAACTTGTAACTCATATTTCCCTCGTGTGTTTCTTGGCCTTTTGTTTCCTAAAGCTCCTATACATCAAATATAACCTATCCATGTCCCTGTTTCAGAACTGTAACACCATTTGCATTAAACTCTATAACCAAAAACAGAGCATTGCACGTTGACTTCTCCAAGCCATTTCAGCCATCCATTGCTGAAGCTAATCATTTGCGTTAGCTTCCTGGGAACTTGAGGAAGTTAACCTGATCATCACAACTCCTTGAAAGCAGCTCAAACTCATTTCACAATTTCCAGTTTTGAGGTACATTTTCTGAACTTCTATCTTTTCATTTAGGCATTGTTAGGCTTTCATTTGTGAAGATAAAATGTAGACATTATTGCTCTGAAGATGTACATGTCTATAAATTTCATTTATTTTGATTGAGCTAGGAGACTTTTAGAATTGAATCTTTGAAAATAATTAGTTCAGAATTTGGTACTTTTAGAAATTCTCATTCATCTTTGATTTATAGCTTATGATATTTACATGGTTGGATTCGTATGGAAAAATGGAGCAACTTTCATGTTTGCATATTTTATTTTTGTTGAGATATGGTGAAGTTACAGATGTTCAGGCTGGAGGTTGAAGATGAAGTTACATTCAGGACTTGATTTGTGTTATATGTTTACTATTTCACCAATGTTAACGGATGTACAGCCACCCCAGTGGTAAAGGTAGCGCGCGTGCGTATTGGAGGTCATGGGTTCAATACCCAGCGCTACCTTTTCTCATTTATCAAAGTTTTCTCACTTTTTGTCACAAGTTGCAGGCGCTGGGCCTCCAATAATGGGCCTTCCTTTTTTTTTGCTTTCTCAAACCCCCCTTGTTTACTTTTGTAGGCTAGCCCAATTTCTTTTTATTATTTTATTTACTTTTATTTTGTTTTTCTTATTTTTATTTTATCTCAGGTTTCTTATTATTTTTTTTTTTATTTTTTTTTATTTTTTTTTATTAATAAAAAATCCAAAAATATTATTATTATTATTATTTTCACACTTATTTATTTATTTTCTTTATAAAACAAAAAGGAACAAAAATATTTTTCTTAAACAAATTAATTTCTTTTTTCTTAAATAATTAATATTTAGATTTAGGTTTAATTATTATTTTATTTTCTTTTAAATTAAAATTAACTTAGAATTTAGGTTTCTTTTAATTAATTAATTTCATATTATTTTCATTAATTTAAAACTTTTTCATAAAAACCCTAAAAAATGTTTTAACTTATTTTCTTTCCTTAATTAATTTAGGTTTAATTTTGTTTAATTTTTTATTAATTATTTTCTTAATTAGGTCAAAATTAAACCCTTTCATAAAAAACCAAACAAAATCATTTCTTTTACATTTATTTTCTTGCACATTTATTCAATTCTTGTACAATATTCAATATGGTTGTAATAGATAATTAGGTTTAATTTTCTTGTAATTCTCATTTGTAAATTTGTATACCCCCTCCTCTAATGATGTAATAGCGTAGTAAGTTTAATTTCCACAATTTATTGTTTTATATAAATGTTAGTAATTAGGGTTTATTTGGAAAGACTAAAACAAACAAGTAGCAAACCCAAGATAAACAAACATGTAAATCAAACACACTTGCACACTTGCATCCCTTAGGGTAATTCCATTTTGTTGCCTTACAAAAATGGTTATGTTATGCATGTGGAATATCTTAACAAAAACAAGTCACAAATACAAGACCATAGTCCCTCCTCAATGGCGCTATCAAATATTGTCTTTCAAAATGATCTTAGTCCCTCAAATAAAAATGCTAAGATATCTCACAACATTGCTATCATGATTATACGATAACTCATGTCCGTCCCTTTACATATAAAGATAAGGCTTCTTACCAATCAATGGTTAGATAGCAATATCAAAGGAAAGAAAAAAATGAACAAAGACTTTTGAGTAGGTAGATTGTTCCTACTTGCTTGCTCATTTTCATATCAAACGTCATTGCTTACTTCTAAAACAAACACCAAACACTTTCAAAAACACTTTCAAAACATTTTCCAAACATGAAATATTTTCAAAAACCCAACACTTTGTATACGTTCTTACGAACGAGAACTATTACAAAGTTTGCCTACTTGATGTTTTATGGTTGTTTGTCTCTCTTGATTCTTGTTGTATTCCAAGATTGATTGTATATCTTGATGTTTATGTATATGCCTCTAACTAGTGTTAGGGAGATATTGCTTGTACACATCTTTGATTATAGTGGAGATTTTAAGTGACATACAAATATCGTGGTTTTTTATTCCTAGTTAACAAAAAAATTTCTACGCTAAAATTGTGTTGTGTTATTTAGTGTATTTTGTTGATTATGGTTGCATTTAATATTTGAGAGATTGTATTACTGAATTATTCCATTATGTTTAGATTTCCTCCCAACAAATTCAACGCATATAAATGATTTGGGTCCATCTCACTTTATAATGTGATCTATAGTTTCCTTTTTAAGGCTCCATCTCACTTTATAATGTGATCTATAATTTCCTTTTAAGGCTCTTTCTAACCGATGGAAAACTCTTCTCCCCAGGTACATATCTAACAAACAACTTGTCTTTGTTGAAAAATGGGAGTATTTTAGATAATGTTATGGTTTGGACAGAAGCTATTTCCCATATGAAATGGAAAGTTGTAAAGAGTAAAAGATATGATGCTTTTAAAATTGATATTAGTAAAACCTATGACAGAGTATACTATGGTAAACTTTGTAATGTCATGGATAAGACGGGATTTCCTAGCAAATAAGCAACGTGGATGTCTACTTGTTTGATTAGCAGCAAAGCGACGCCTCTGATTATTCCAAGCATATACAATTCCACATTTCAATGACATTTTCTAAAAGTGCAATTCTCTATATTTCATTTATATTCTATCCTTACACCAACATCATCCAAATCCTGGATTGAAACAAGGGAAAAAAAAAACAGAAGAAATATTTCTATTTTCATATACTACTATATAACTATAGTAGCGAAAGAAAAAAGAACTTTACAATATTGCAAAACACTAGAACAACACCGGCGATCATTTCCTTCCCCCTATCTTCATAGAAACCTTTTTTGCTGGAGACTTAATGCTCTTCACTGCCGCAATTTTTTTCAGTGCAGGCTTCGAAACACTCCCTTTCTTCCCCAGAGTCATCTTTGCAACCTTTGTAGGCCTCTCATTGGGCTTCGATTTCACTCCAGCTTTGGGCTTTGATGCCGCAAATTTGGGCTTGGCGGTTACAGGTTTGGCCTTTGAAACAACATTTGGCTTTACAACAGCTTTAGCTTTTGGCTTAGCGGCTGTCTTGGCCTTCACAGCCTTCTTCGCCTTGGCAGCTGGCTTTGTCTTCGGCTTGGCAACTACCGGCTTCTTAGCCGCTAAAGAAAGCTTGAATGAAGCTTTAACCTTTGCAAGCTTTCCAGAAGCAACGTCCTTCTTCAAGTTTTGAAGCAATAGCTTCTTGAAGTTTGAAGGGAGAGGTTTGTTCTTTTCTTCTATGAACTTCGCAATAGCACATTGGCTCGAACCATTCTTCTCCTTCAGCGACACAATTGCGTCTTTAATCATCTGCAATTCAAACAAATCAAAATCAGATTCAATGAAAACACAACTCGTGACGTAAAACAGTTTAAAACAGTGAATTGAAATTGAATCGAACCGAACCGAACCTCCGAGTAGGTAGGATGAGAGGAAGGGCTTCGTGGTTTGGAAGCTTTTTTCGGCTTTGATTCTTTGGGTTTCTTGGTCTTCATTGCTTGAGCCTTTGGTTCATTTTTCTCCGAGGCTGGAGGTTCGGGTACCGTTAGTTGAGGAACGGTTTCCACTATGGGTTCTTCTGTGGCCATTGCAAAATCAAGGGTGGAATTGAAAATAATTTGATGCGTGCGAAAGACTTCAACAATGTGAATTGGGAATTATGCGTGGGAAAAAATGATGGGAATTTGATGGCTTAAATAGTGAAGTTTGCGTGGGTTAATATTCGGTGCTTATTTCTGATTGGTTCAGGGAACACGACAAGGATTAATTAACTTCTTTTTTGTTTGAAGGCGAGCCTTTAGATGAAGATGCTATCGACGGTTGGTGTTGATTGATCAGTGGAGTATAATAAGATGGAATGTTACTATGTGATTTGGGAGGTCATTTGTTGTTTTAGTTGTGCTTTTAAGTTAGATTCATTTGGTCATAACACGAGTTGTGGTTTATGGATTTGGCTGATTTTTTTTACATCTTCTAGGATATTTCATTAGCTTTCTAACGAGTGCTTTAGCATGTAGTATAGATTGGTGGTCTGGGAGAATTTCGGTTTTTCTCTAAGGCATAATGGTTAAGACTAGGTTTTTTTTAATAATGTGATCAAAGTTTTTCTCTAATTCAAGGGAATGTTATCATCAAGAATTTTATTAACCTACATATTGTGATAATAGATTAATCGAAGATTTTATTGCAACAAAAATCATGAAAAATGGATGAGATTTAAATATAGAACAATTGTTTAAAAGGCAATTGAAGTTGAACTAAGTCCTGCTAAAAAACATGTGTTGCCAAGTATTGTATATAGATAGAACATATTTTTAGTTATATATTATGTTCAATTGTTATCAATTCACACATATTGGTATTAGAGTTTGGTTCTGATTCAAACTTCAACAAAATTTTGATTTTGAGAAATTGAGTTTTGAAAGTTAATTAAACAAATTTCTCTCTTTTCTCTCTATTCTTTTATCTTCATCTTCAAGCTTCTTGTGCATCCATGGAGTATGTGCGTTAACTCCAACAAATTGGTATTGGAGTTTGGTTCTAATTCACAGAAAACATGAGTGTATGTGAGGTGTGTGATTGATTTCGTTCCTCAAATTCATATTGAGTTGAAGTTTAAAATCGGAGAAGAATCAAATTTCTTGATTCTTAAGATTGGGTAACACGAGTTTTTGTGAGATTTGAGTGAATTGCATAAGAACAAAGATGAACACCGAAAACAATAGCTTAAACATAAATCTTCCAATATTCAACAAAAAGAATTGAAATCGGTTATCGATTCAGATGTGTATGTTGTTTGGAGCTTAAGATGTTATTGATCTCTTCAATGACGGCTACACGCCGGTTGCAGAAGATGCAACATAAGCACAAAGAAACGCGCAATGTGATAGGAGGAAGAAGGATCATAAGGCGTTGTTATATATCCATCAGTATATGGATAAGAAGGTGTTTGAGAAGATTGTCGATGCGACAACAGCGAAAGCTGTGTGGGATGTACTGGTGCGATGTTATGGTAGTGGCGCATCAGTGAAGAAAGTGAAGTTGAAGTCCCTATGCAATTAATACGAGAATCTCGACATGAAAATTAATTAGAATATACCAGATTATATCTCCAGAGTGACTCTGATCATGAATGAGATGAAGGCTTGTGGAGAAACTCACTTTGAATAAGTAATTATTGAGAAGGTACTCAGATCCCTTACTCCTTTGTTTGATTACATAGGTTTAGCCATAAAACATTCTAAAACACTAGCACCATGAGAATTGAAGAATTTCAAAGTAGTTTAGAGGAACATGAGTTGCGTCTGAAGGCTTCTTTTGTTAAGAAGAACAAGAAGCAAGTATGGCTAGAGAACAAGAAAAAGAATGTTCAGAAGTCATAATCTTCTTCTTCAGAAGAAAAGAAACAAAAGAATGTTCAGAAGGGAAAGGATAAGTTTGATAAGAGAAAGGCTTAGTGCTAAAATTATAATAGATTTTCCATTTTGCCTATGAATGTTGGTCAAACAATGAAAACAAGAGTGAAGAAGCCAATATAGCCAGAGGAGATTCATATGGTGAACCTATGCTATTGGTGGCATCTGAGAATGAAGGTGAAAAAATGGTAGACTGGTGGTATATGGATACTGGCTGCTCAAATCTTCTAATCAGAAACAAGAAATGGCTTATTTATTTTGACACTAGTAGAAAGACTAAGATCAGGCGTATTGATGATAAGTATTTGAACATTGAAGGAATGGGAAATGTTAGACTGAAATTACATAATGGAAAAACTGCTCTGATTGAGGATGTATGGTATGTTCCTGGCATGAAGAGCAATGTGATGAGTGTATGTCAGCTAATTGAAAAAGGTTTGTCAGTAACAATGTAGAACAATCTTTCAAAGTTGTATTACTGTAATTAGAATTTGATTATGTAGTCTAAACTAGGAAGAAATATAACATTCAAGGTGAATATTGAAACAACAGACACTCAATTCCTTAGTGCAATAAGTCTTACAAAGGAAAGTGAGTTATGGCATAAGAGATTGGGGAATCTAAACTTCAGAAGCTTAAGGCATTTTAATTCTAAGAATCTGGTACTTGGAATTCCAAAGATTGTGGCACCAGAGAAATCATGTGACATATGCATGAAAGGCAAGCAACCAATATTGCCTTTCTCATCAGAATTTCCTCCAAGAGAAACTCATGCTCTAGGTGTTGTGCATTCTGATGTATGTGGTCCATTTGAAGTACCTTCACTTTGAGGAAACAATTACTTTGTGTCATTTGTGGATGAGTTTACAAGAATGATTATCGCGGCAAAAAAAAATACTTGAGCGTGCAAATGCTCGAAATAAATAGAGTCTCTACTGAAATTTTATTTATAAAGGAAAACATTTATAAAACCCTTAAAGGACGAAAACATGGTCGTTGTAATCAAATTTCGGTTCGGGAGTCGATTATGCAAGGGGAAGGTATTAACACCCTAACATCTGTTGTACTCAACGGGTACCATTTAGTTAGATTTGGAAAAGGTGTTAGCTTGAAAATGTTTAGATTTATTCTTTTTCTTTTGAAAGTTGTTTTGGAAGTTGTGTTGTGGAGTGTGTTTTGAAAGTTGGCAAGTGTGTTTTGCAAGTTTGATCAAGTAACTAAGAGCTATCTACCCTTTTTACTCAAAGATCTTTCCTTATGTTTTTAACCCTTTTAACAGTGTTGTTTCACCATTGTATTTGGTGAACAACCTTGTGTTAGGATGTTAACGGGACGGGCGCGGGTCATCGTATACAATCATTGAAGGCAACTTGTGAGACGCTCTAGCAATTTTGTAAGGGACGGGATCGTTTTATCGAAGGCAACATTGAGGGTCATCGAGGGACTACGATCTTTGTTTATCGAAGGGACGTTTGCTAGAGTGTCTCATACTCGAGGGACATGATTGCATTTTTCCGAGGCAACAGGCGAGGTTACCCTAGAGGTGCAAGTGTGAATTGTGTATTGATTTTCATGCTTTTGTCTTGTATTAGGTTATCTAGCGGTTGACTTTGAATCTTCGCATACAAACCCTAATTACTATACAGTATATAGAAAGCGAAAAATTGCGGGAATTTAAAGTCTAAGCTATTACAAATAAGTATCCAGGGATGGGGGTACAAATGTTTACAAATGGGGATGAGTCTTATCAGGATAGTAGTGTCCAAATGTTATTTACAACCAAATCGAATCGCATTCTCAATGTAAAATATAATCAAAGTATAAGAATCAAAGATAAACAAAAATATTGTGTCATGCATATAATTATTTACAAATGATGCAAGTTAAGTATTATTATTTATTTTTGTGTTTTTGTTAATATTATATAAACAAAAGGTTTAATAATAGAAAAGTATTTAACTTAAAAAATCTATTTTTTATGTATTTTAAGTGTGATAAAAAAAGTATTGTTAAAAAATCTTAATATGAAAAATTAATACACTATTTTTATTTAACAAGAAAGAAATAGGAGTTAAGTTATAAAAAAAAACAAAGTGATGAAAATGTTAGCATTAATTTGTAGACATGAGAAAATAGAAAGAAAATTAAATGGGCCTAAAAGGGTGTGTTTGGCCCAAGAAAACAAAATAAAAAAAATAAAAAAATATAAGATAAGAAGAAAAACAGGGGGGTAAGACGCCAAAATGTTTGGGCTTAAGGGTTCATTCTGTTGGGGACAGGCCCAACGCGTTTTGATAATTTTTCTTAGGGTTGGGACTGGTTTTGTTCAGAATTAGGGATACAGAGTTTGACTTAGAACGACGCTGCTCCCTTCTTCTTCTTCGTCTTTCTCGTTCTCAAACGAAGGCCATTGATGCTCCCTCTACACCTCAGCTGCCAGAGCGCCATCGTCCATCTCCCTCTCTCCATGGTCGTGCAAGGCAGTGATGAGAAAAGGTAACGATTCTTGTTTTAGGGTTTTGGATTTTAGTCTTGCATGCTTTATTTTTGTATGTTCTGATCTTTATGTGTTACATGTTTATGTGAGGTGTGTAAAAAGGGAGAAGGAATTACTACCTTTGGAGAGGAGACGGAGGAGGACGGCGGCGCTTCTCAGGTGGCCAAGAGGCGGAGAGACGCGGTGATGTGCTTGCTGGCCTCCCTGGTACTTTGTATCTTGCTTTATATGTTTTATGATGAATCTTTTCTGAAAACACGACTTTTAGTTCTCTCTTCTTCTTCTGATTGCCGGCCTTTGAATATTTGAATGCTTATTTTTTGATGAAGATGCTTGCTTGTTCCTCTTCTGCTTGCTTGCCTTGTTGTTGTTTTTACTTCTGGATTTTTTCAATGATGATTATTCTGAGATTGCTTTTCCTCTCTCTTTTGGCTTTGATTCTGAGTTGGTGTTTTGCTACTGTTGCTACTGATATGTTGATGTTGGCCCTATGATGAAGTTGTTCTGAGGGCTTTTTGGCTTGAATGCTTGCTTGTTGTACAGTTTGTTGGGGTTTAGGCTTTGACAGGCTTGTTGGAGTTTAGGCTTTGAAAGGCTTGTGTTTTAGCTTGAAGCAGGCTTTTGGATGAACAAGCTTTTAGGCTTGCTTCTATTATGTTTTTGACAGGCTTTTTGA